GCTTCCACGAAGACTTTGGCACAACGACTAGACAGTTCGAAGAAGGCAGAGCGACCGCGTGGTAAAACTTCAGCCTACGAACAGATCTCTTCATAACGAATCGAGATTTCAAATTAGCTCCGGGCCTATTATTTGCCCCAGAAAGGGAATCGACTTCTGACCTGACCTTCTGAGCTGCCGCCTCAAGTTCCACTCCTGGCTTCCAAATGAGATCAATCTACGCGCTTTGGGACTCCTCCTCCCACTCGTACCTTGAAGTAGAGCACAAACGAAATCTTGAATTGCGTATAGAAAGAAAATGAACCATAAGAACTTTTCGAAGCGAAGTGAAGGAAGAGGAGCTGAGGTATATGAAGCATTTTTGGTCCCTTTCGTCCAGTGGTTAGGACATCGTCTTTTCATGTCGAAGACACGGGTTCGATTCCCGTAAGGGATAGGTACTCATTCCCGGCCGCTTTCAGTTCGTGTTCATTGCTGAGTGATCGCTCGCTATCTGGCTGGAAAAGGTGGTCCGGAAGCTTCCTTTCTCCCAGCAAGCAAGACGAGATCACCACTTCTCTCAGTAATGGACTTCCTTTAATTATTTCTTAGTCTTAGATGTCCTTTTATAGATTCTCTGCCGTCTTTTCTTCGCTCTGTCCAGTAGTCTCATTGTTACTCGTTCAACCTAGGGCTAACGCGCCTCGCGGTTTTACGACATCGGCTTAAAAGCATATAGTCAAGCCCGTTTCCGGGTGTTTTCACCTCCGAACGGAGTAAGAAAAGATACTGCAGACAAAAGTTTAGTGATCACTTACGCAAATCCACATATTACAAGAAGTATGTAGCTCTTTCTCCTCTGTTTCGAGGCTTAGCGCTTGATAAGTTCTTAGTTACATCTGTCACTGGTTGTTTACTTATTTTCGTAGTTCACTAGATGGCAAGGTTTAGTTCCTTTCAGCTGTCACAGGTTTACTTACTGACTTATGTCACAAAGCTAAGACGCCTATGAAAGGGAATCGATTTCTAATGGAAGGAGACCTCCGGTTTAGCATTAACGTCTTTCTCGATTATAGTTCGAAACTAACTCCCCTTGGGTCAGGAGAAACTGGCACTTTCGGGATCTGTCGTTTCGAGAGAAGGAGGATGCCCCATTAGGCTGGAACGCTGTTAATGTATATGCACTTCGTCTAGGAGCCTCTTTTCTCTTGCGGAAAAGCAGTTGACAAGCAGCCTGACCATCCTTTTCTTTTGGTATGCTTTGTGGCCACATTCAATTCGCGATGAGAATTCCAAACCTCCCACTGTAAAGAGCTACCCGGTCGTGCACCTTACCCAAGGTTCACTCACTCGAAAGATATTAATTCTTAGCTACGGTATTCTTTCTTTATGTTTAGTCGCAGAGTCCTCTCAGGAACTCTTCTACCGTAGAAGGCAAGGCCTCTCTTGCCGAGTTAAGAACCTAACTTTAGAGCGATCTCTCGTGTGGACTTTCTCAATGTGACCCACGAATACCACACCACCCACTAGGAGTAGATCAAAGAGTTGTAAACGTCAGAGTTCCATATCGAAGGTACGGTTGGAAAGAGAGTAGGACTAGGACTAATAGTCAGACAAAGCAGCAGACAGGACAGGCAGGGAAAGAAGCTCAAAGATGCTCTTAGTACCAGAATAGTAAGTCCAGATGAACTATCGTATTAGAAAGCGGAGAAAGCCGAGTCAATGAATAGTTATAGTAAAGAGGAGGATCGACGAAGTTGAGGCAAGACGAAGAGAGAAATCTCTTATCCAAGGGGCCGGAGAAGCTTAATGGCATTGTTCCGGGGTAAGGTTATCAAGATTCAAAGGAAAAGACAATAGTCGAAGAGATTGATCCCACTAGCTTGGCAGTAGGACTTCTTTCAGCTATTCACAAGGATAGCTTAATTAGAGGTAGGCGTGGTAGCATGGTTGTGAAAGAAAAAAGGACTTGACTTCTGCTCCCTACATAAGAATACGAATTGCTGAAGTTTCATTGCTTTTATCGAATGCCTTCCATGCGGGTTGAATGAAGAAGACAGCAGTCAGAAAAGGTAAAGTAGGTAGTACCTCTCTGTTCTCTGCTGAGGAAGGCAAAGAAAGTTCATTTCTGCCTAGTCCTTACCAATGTTCATCTAAAGAACTCCGAGTTTCATATTCCCGAGAAACTTCCGCTGACTTGAGAGAACTTCTTTTTCAGGTACTTCTGAAATCGAGGTAGTCTAGGTTCTTCTTTGAGTTCTCTCTGGTCTCCTTGTGAGTCAGATTCAGACAATGCAAGAAGGAAAAATCCTTTCTTTAGTCTATGACTGAACTTCGCTTTGTTCGATGTAATTGACCTTTGGAAGTTCACTCTTTATTTCCGGCTTGGAGTTTTTAGATCCCGAATCCACTGCCTTAGGTTCTTTCAGAGTCAAGGGTCGATGTAATTGAGAAGGATTGGATGGGAGCAATCACACCGAGGGTGAACCGGAATTCCACTAGTTCACAGATAAGAAGAAGACATTAATCTAGGGAAATGACAAGAAAGTATGAATGGCTCTAAGTCAGCTTGGCTTTTTGATCTCACAAAAAGGGAGAAAGTTAAGAGACTCAGACTGACTTTTTAGTTGTAATCTATCCTATCCTTTAGGCGGGGATAGGTTCATAGGAGGACTTGGTTACATAGGAAGGAAAGGCTTAAACTATAAGGGATAAGAAAGGGAATTTGCAACACTCGGCGTAGAAGTCCTACCTAAAGGTTCGATTCCTTTTTAACACTAACAGAACTTTTCGAAGCGAAGTGAAGTCAAGAAATTCACCGATAGAGAAGAAAGAGATAAGCAATGATCGGACTAGACCAATGAAAGCGGACCAAGGTTTTTATTCGTTAGCCAAGCGCGCCTATTACAGCGCCTCTATTACAGAAGCGAAAGCGATGCGCCCTATTGACCAGCCGAAGAACATCCTTATAAAAGAATG